CACCAAAATCTTAACCCAATGGGTGGAGTAGACAAGAATCATTATAAATCCTTTGGAAACCTTTTCTCAACCAATGTAGGACTGATAAATATTTCAACAGCCTCCATCATGTGTTAAATCAATTCTTGAAATTGCTCCTGGATTAAAGATTATTTTGCCTTCATTTTCTTTTATTATTTACCTGACTTTGTGCATTTTTGTTGGGGGAGAAGACGAAGTGTCACCACAAGGGTGTGGCTGAAGTAGACAAAAGAAAAGAGAGAGAGTAGACTTACCAAGCTGAGGAGTAGGCCTGGAGTTGAGAGAAAAAGTAGATTCGATAGTAGATGATAGAACAGAGAGAGAGAGTAGATTTACTAAGCTGAGTAACAGCTGGAGTTGAGACCAAAAGTAGATTCGATAAGCTCAATGCTGTTTTTAGAGAAAGAACCTTGGAGTGATAGAAATGTTAAGAAAAAACAATTGTGAGTGAGCTTACCAAAGTTTGGTTCTGATATCATGTGTAAACTAAAAGAGAAAAATAATGAACACCTGATGATAGTGGCATACAAGAAACACATATTATAGGTGTCAAATTCAAAACACATGATATTTGTTTCATGTGGGACTATATTTTACTAATGACATCACTCTTGTAACACGACATTTAAATACTAAAATTACATTCTACCACCTTTTCTAGGAACTGTTAATTCGAGTGATCGTAACCTGGTTCTTTTCTCAATATGGGTATATTACTAACAGTTTCTGTTTGAAACAGATTTGGCAAATCTGGTGAATATTGCTGCCATTAAGGCTGCTGTTGAAGGTGCTGAGAAGCTAAATGCATCACAGTTGGAGTTTGCAAAAGATAGAATAATAATGGGAACAGAACGCAAAACCATGTTCCTTTCAGAAGACTCAAAAAAGGTATTCTGCTCTATTATGAAAAATATGTTCATGTTTGTATCCGGTAACTCACTTGTAAGTTTGATTTGATTTGTCATCAGGCATCGAATTTCGGTAATCTATATAGTTATTTGATTTTACATGCTTATGAACAGGCAAAATTCTTTAGAATATAAAAACTTATTGGGCCTCAAAACATCAAGTTTGTATTTTCTGAATGCTGTGCAGAATCTTGGTCAACCTCTTGTATAGTAAAATTAAAGGACTCTTTGGATGCTTGCTTAATGGATAAACACCTTGTTTTCCTGTCCTTGTTCTGTAGTGGACATGTTACAATATCCCAGATATATTAATCACCATTATGGTAAATATCATCTTTTTCAGCTAACTGCATATCACGAGAGTGGCCATGCAATTGTTGCCTTGAATACTGAAGGCGCACATCCAATACATAAAGCTACAATCATGCCACGTGGGTCTGCTTTGGGAATGGTTACACAGCTTCCTTCAAATGATGAGACATCAATCAGCAAAAAGCAGTTGTTAGCACGGCTTGATGTTTGTATGGGAGGAAGAGTAGCCGAGGAGCTGGTCTTTGGTCCAGACAATGTAACTACTGGGGCTAGTAGTGACCTACACACAGCTACAGAACTTGCTCAATACATGGTACGATTTCGCTACATATTAATGTCTATTATAGTGAGTAAAATTGTCAATTTATGTAGTAAAAATACTTCTTTCCTCTTCCCTTTTTGTTTCTGGGGTTCACTAAACAAGGATTTTTTTAAAGACGCCTTGAACAGTTTAGAAGTACATGGATCATCATGTATTACAAATATTAGCTATGAGAAAAAGTTGTTTCCCAGTTTCGTTTTTGCTTATCAGCAATTACATGCCTACATATTTCAATGTATGCATGCAGATTAAATCTGGTGTTCTTACTGGCTGCATGATTTCTTTTAAGGCTTAAGTCATATGCGGCCCCTTAAAGTTGTCCGCATAATTCACTTAGATACCTCAACTAAGACTTGTACCTATTGAACATTTCTAGGACCTCAAATTTATACCACTTGAGCACTTTTTGCCTACATGGCATTTTGAATGTGATTCACGGCTGATGAGCGCGTGAAAGCATTTAGTTAGATATTTTTTAAATAAAAAAAAAACAGTCGCTTTCTTCTTCTTTGTGCTTATTTGCCATCACTAATTTCTCCGGCAATCGCCGTTGCCATTGCAATCATACTTCTTCTTGTTCTTCTGTATTTTTCTAGTCACTCCAATTCCTTTACCTTTATCATTATTTTTTTAAAAAAAATTGTCATTTATCGCTGCCATCACATCCATTTCTTCCTCATCTTTTGAGCAACCACCAACATCTCTACCATCAACGCTGCCACATAGTCATTTTATTTCTTAATATCTAGTATCTCTTGTACCTTTTTTTTCCTTCAGATCTAGAACTGAATCTTTGTCGATTTATGAAAGTAAGCAAAGTTACAAATTGCAATTTAAACAACTCCACCACCTCTACCATTAATGTTTCACTTTGTTCTTTTTTCCCTCCGGATCTTAGAACATTATTTTACTATTAGATGTTTTATTTTTTAAAAAAATCTAAATCTACCATTATTGATATATGGTAAAGAACAAGAAAAAAAAAGGTGGTTCGATGAGCAGCATTAGACGTCTTCTTTCTTCTTCTTTTTAATTTTTTTTTTTTGAATCTAATGATTTGCCATTGTTGATTCATACAAATGAAGAAAAGTTTAATTGTTGGATTTCCTTTTTCAGAGTTAGAAAATTTCGTCACTAAAATAGCTCAATTCCACCATTAATTGTTGACTTTCCTTCGATTTTTTCCATAATTGAATTAAGAGAAAACGATGGGTGATGTTGGCGATGATAATGGTGGATGTACAGCAGCATTTTGAAAAAAAAGTTGAAGAGTTTTTCCTTTGTTTTTGTCATAATGGTGTAGTAATTGTTATTTTGACTCAAAATGCCACATATATATCGTTTATTTGACAATTTGCCGTGTCAGCGCGAGTGTACTACACTCATTTTATATTTTTAACTGATTGTCAAAAAAATGCTAAAATGGTTCTAATTCGACTCGGTAGAAGTGTTCAATAGGTACATGTTGTAGTTGAGGTGTTCAAATGAAATATACGGACAACTTTAAGGGGCTGTGGATGACTTAAGCCTTCTTTTAAGTTGCTGATTTGGGTTTTAGCTGCATTTATATGCCAGAATTTGTTAACCCAGAATGTCTTATTTTTCGACAACATTATACGGGGTAGTGCTTATCCCATTTTGATTTCTCGCCAGCTAACTGCATAAAGAAAAATAATATTTATGTGAACATCAAGACCTTTGGATTGCAGGTTTCTTAAGGAAGTTACCTAACTGATGATGTTATGAAGAAAAAATTGTCCCATGTGAAACTCAAATGATCAGAAAGATAACTAAATCTGTCGATTGAAGGTGCTATGCTGGGCTCAGAAAATTGAGTCTTGCCGATCTGAAACTTCAATGTTCAAAGTCATTTTAGCTTTCCTTGGACTGTCGTTCAGTTTTTCTCAGAGAAAATTGTATCACCTTTAGTTCCTTTTCCTCCATCTACTACTATTTGTTAATATAAGTAAAATTAACATCTCTGTAACCTAGGCATAACCCAACGTGGTGGAAAGAGAAAAAAGAAAGCAACCATACCCTCCCGATGTCTATGGTGTGGGAGTATTTTGCACTAGACATAAGTTAGAAGTTCATAAGGATTTACCCCACATGAGACGTAGCTTCTCCACAGGCAAAAGCTGCCTTGAGAGGGTTCCTCTCCGGACCTGCTTTATAGGAAGAGTAAAAAAGAGTTGGTTCTTCGTTTTCTTTGTCTGGCTAATGTATATATTCAGCTGTGAATGATGTTATTAAATTTGTCAGAATGAAGCTTTCTGTTACAAGTGTGTGACAGTACCACATTTTTCTGTAGGTATCATCCTGTGGGATGAGTGATGCAATTGGACCTGTTCACATCAAAGAGCGGCCAAGTGCTGAAATGCAATCACGTATGGATGCTGAGGTATGTGCTTAGCTCGAGTTTAATTTTTTTTTTTTTGTAACAACTGACCTGATGAAGAATTTCTAAGTCATAGTATTCTAGTATGTTTTTTATTTGGGTTGATAAGCTCTTATAAGTTTGTTCTTCTGATGCACAGGTGGTCAAACTTCTAAGAGAAGCATATGATCGCGTAAAGGCCCTCCTAAAGAAGGTTTGTCTTACATATCTTAATGATCATAGAGCTATACTAACTGGCAGAAACCTGTTAGGTTCGGTTAGCATAAGCTTATCTGTGATTTTCTTTTTCAATGCAGCATGAAAAGGCTCTACACACTCTGGCAACTGCCCTTCTAGAGTGCGAAACATTGACTTCAGAAGATATAAGGCGGATTCTTCTCCCTTTCTCTGAAGACCGGCTCTCTGAACAACAGCAGCAGCAGCAGCCTCAGGACGAAGAAACTCTCGCATTGGTTTAGATATATGGCTTTCTCTTCCATGGGTGATCATCTCAACTGGTGTAGGGGGCTATTATGTACAGTGTATACGGAGCACTAGTTTTGATTATTTCACTTACAGGTCTTCACTATTTTTTTTTCTTTCCCCTTGTGTTGTAACATATTTTTAGGACTTCCATTTCCTGGCATACAAAACAGGTGTAGCTTCAGTAGTGTTGTACGCCTTAGTAGGACTTCCAAAATTTCTTTTTTCCGTTTTCTTTGTCAACCGTTTTTTAATTTTATATACCCTCTATTGGGCAAAATTTTGCATGTAAACTTGGGAATTGTATATCTGTTTATTATACTGGGAATAAGGATATCCTACTTAACACCATACTCTAGGATTTACTAATTCTGCTCCTTTCAATGCTATCTCATCTGAACAAATTAACTGATTTGTTCTCGAGTTTCTGGAGATTCATTTGGTTCTGCTTTAGGTTTGAATTCGATAATTTAAGAAAGTAATTCTGCTTCAATTTACGTGATATCATATATTGGATAAAGAGTAATGTTCTATACTGTATCAAGTCTTTCAACAGTAAATCACCCCTTGCTCTGCATTAGGGAAAACCAAAATTCGAGATTACATAACAAATGTAACATCTGGCCAGTGTCCCTATGACCCATACTTAACTTTGAATCAAATATGTACGTGATCATGATCCACATTATTCAACAACATCAAATTCACGTATATTAAACAATCGTGTGATAGTATGCCAAACCACCCCTCAACAGTTTTTGTCAATAAGCACGTAAATCAGCACCATATATAAGGCAGCAAGAATGAGCTAAATTGCAAATCCTCTGTATAGCCTCATGGCGCACGACTGTCCAATTGCTGCATATAGAGTCATTAACTCTCAAGCCTGACCAACAAGAACATCCTTGTAAGGAGTTGGGGCAACGGTAGAGGATGTTGTTTCTTCCACTGGCGACTTTTTCCTTCGCCTTTGCTCTTCTACTAGCAGTGGCATTTGCCCCTCCTCCACCGATGACTGTCTCCTTCGTCTTTGCTCTTCTATTAGCAGTGGCATTTGCCCCTCCTCCACCGATGACTGTCTCCTTCGTCTTTGCTCTTCTATTAGCAGTGGCATTTGCCCCTCCCTTTCTTGTATCAATCGGTCTTGTGCTCCGCCTCGTAGCTTTTCTAGCCTCAATCCACTCATTTGTTGCATCTTGAACACTTTTACCACATTCATTAATCCTCCAATGAACAGCAATAAACTCCCAAATAACCCGAACAACATCCAGTCTTCACTCTGCATCATTTCACAAGTCCCTCAACAGTTAGTTGATCGAACTGCACAAAAGGTGTGCAAGAGATTGTACTGCTCGTTAGTATATTAATAGTGTTTTCTATGTCATAAGCCTACAAGAAGTATAAAGATATAGACAGAGCTAAAAGTATACCAACCAAATAGAATGTCTCAGATCCAAAAGTTGGATTGGCTATACGGAACCTCTGTATCAACTTATTCAGTAATCACTTCATCTTACTGATAGGACTACTACTATAGAATCTATTCATAACATCCAACGGTTAAGCGACTCCTAGAATGTTGCCAAAAATACAACTTTTCCTTCTCTCCTCTTCTCTTTCTTTTTGATACTTGGTTGACAGGGTCAGGCCTTTCTGAGTATGCACATCCTATAGTTTAGTAATTAAAGACCATTCTTATTCTTAGACTACTTGATCATGCTTCCCAGACGAGGGTCTTAAGGTCGGGGAAACTAACTAAAGAGAAATAGTTTTTTTTTTTTTTTTCAAGAGCAACTGAGCAAGAATGAGAGTTTAGTTTCTGCGGCGGAACTTGCAAGCATGGTTACGGGAGATGCAGGCATCAACCCTACCTTGCGAGTATTTATGGAAAGCCACCTTTTTTTTCCCTTTAAACGTGGGTTGATATATACGTTTTTTATGATCATTATAGGTGGTATAAAAGAGTTAGATGGTAAGTCCATAAACAGATTTTTCCGTATTGATAATTGTAAAAAAATGTTGGTTACTTACTAACAATTTCAAGCCATGGTGGACATATCCCGACTGCTCTCTCCAATTGAGGAGTGATCCTACCAGAAACAGTAAACTGCCCAACAAGAAGGGGATGTTGACACTTTGTTGCAAGATTTGGACATGCCCATCCGCTCTTTCGTAAATCTGACACGAGTTATGGATTGAACCAAGCAGCCATAGAGCAGGGCCAGCAATAAGCAGACTCACAGCTTGCTTCTCCATTTTGTAATTGCCATACCCCTTTTCTGCCTTCACAAACGAATTAAATACAAGATCAGATGAAGTTATACTGAAGCTACATAGCCAATATTCAATGTTATATTTAGCCAGCAAAGCAAAATTACTAATCCCTGTATCACATTCTTGGCTTCTTTATCTGTTAAAGAAAGACCAGACACCTCCTTATAGCGGCATAGGCTGAATTTGTGCCAGTGGTATAGTGATCTTGTCAATGGGTTCAAGTTTGGCATTGTGGTAGTTACAAGGCTATTATGTTCATTTTAGTCCGTTTCAAAAGAATGTAGTAAATGAAATTTCGGTACATTAGACATTTTTTTTCCGTCTCCCCTACCCATACCGGATGATCCAGGGGCAGAGCTACCCTAGGGCAAGGCGTCGGAAAATTACATTGTATATATAGGTCAAAATTACATTGTTTGAGGTTGTGTGTTCTATCCTTGATAGGAGCATTTGCTTTTTTACTTTATATTTTGACCCCCTTAATAAGTGAGGGTTCGATTCTCCACCTTATAATCTCCTTCTCTCAAGGTATAGTAGAAAAAAAAAAAGGTATTCCTTTTTCCAATCAAACACCCTCTTATAAAATGATTGCTTAGAATTCAGTGTGATGTTTTTAACGATGAAAGCGATGAAACAGAAGAAATATAAAGCAAATGAATTAGCACCTGAGTTCCAATTTGTAACTTTAGACATAAAGTCCATCGAGTTTTAAAAACTTTTGAATTTTGTGACGAATGTAACAAAATGTCATTTAATCTCGTAATCATAAGTATTGTGACACATTTTTTTTTAACAAACTAAGACAAATAAATTAAAACAGAGGGAGTTACAATTACCTGAGTGAAGAGAAAAAGAATGGCTAAGAAGTTGAGAATTGTTCCTACGGACTGAACTACCGGCACAGCGAATTCGACGAGGGCAAGCTGCGGGTCAAATCCGAGAAATAGAAATCTATAGTCGATTCCAGCGAGGTGAGCTAGAAGATCATGCACATTCACTACAACAATCACCGCCAACGCTATCAGCAACAGAACCAAACCGGACAATTGCTCGTTCGAGAACTGAGCAGCGAACCCACCCACCAGCAATATGGTAGCGAACAAGTATAGACCCGCGTTGATGTACTCGAATCGGTTTCGGGTTAACCTCGGCCCGTACAATCGCATCTCTCGCGCCGATGCTAATTTCACCATTATTATTGTTTTGTTGTTTGAATGAGACGAGGAACGAATTGAAATCTCTGTGAAGAATTCATAGAGGAAATTAGGAGTTAACTTGGGGTGTGGGGGGTGGGGGGTTACGTGGCTTTCTGCATGCTGCATGAAAGCGTCAACGGTAACCAGTGGTTAACACGTGTTGATCAAACGATTATTTTAAAAGTTAAATTTTGAATACTGATTATGTTTAGTGCTACGTTGTTACTTGAACTATAGTTATATATTATTGAGTTATTGGAATCGATAACTGAGCAATTCTATCACTACACCTTATTTTATATTCCCTCCATTTCTATTTAGTTACGTTGCTATATTTTAGATTTCATGTTTCTTGTTGCTATATTTTAGATTTCATGTTTCTTATAAAATTAAGTAAGTTTATCATTGTACATTTATTTAGTGTTCTCTTAAAATCAATTTTTCAATTTATGAATATGAATTAATTTGTTTTGATTAATTAATTTAACGAAAAAACAAAAATTAGTTACTTCTACTTAGTTTTTCTTTTTTATGTTGATCAAATATATACATTCAAGACTAATAACTATTAATGATAAAAAATAGAAAGAATAGTGTCATTTATACATTAATTTTATAAAAATATCATATATTAAGAACATTTATTTGTCCAGAAGGGATAGTAAAAAAATACAAAGAATGATTATAAGGCATTCATTTACAGGGACCTGGAAGCATCACCGCTGGAAATGGAGTTTGAGGTTTCACTCGAACATGTGCTGCAATAGTAATAATACGCATCCATCAATCTCCAACGTTGTCTCCACTAACATTGCAATTACAGAGCTAGCGAAAAAGGGTTCACTCGAACAAGCACGAAAGCTGTTTGACGAAATGCCTCAAAGATCAATTGTCTCGTGGAACACCATGATTTCTGGTTATTCCGAATGGGACAAGTTCAGTGAAGGGTTAAGTTTAGTTTCATTAATGCATAGCAGCTGTATAAAGCTGAATGAGTCTACTTTGTCCTCAGTACTAAGTGTTTGCGCTCGATCACAGTCGCTCAATCCTGGTAATCAAGTTCATGGGCTAGCTTTGAAATCTGGATATCAAAGTTTTCAGCTTGTGGGTAGTGCTTTATTGTATCTTTATTCAACGTGTCATGTAATTGAAGAGGCAAGGATGGTATTCGATGTATTGCATCGGGAGAATGAGTTGTTATGGAGCTTGATGCTTGTGGGATATGTTAAATGTAACTTGTTAACTGATGCTTTCGAGATTTTTAGGAAAATGCCGACCCGTGATGTTGTTGCTTGGACCACTTTGATTTCTGGATACTCAAAGGTTGAAGGTGGATGCCAGAAAGCTTTAGAGTTGTTTCGGTCGATGGGAGAGGATATTGAGATTGTCCCGAATGAATTTACTCTGGATTGTGTTTTGAGGGTGTCTGGTAGATTGGGATATTTATATGGGGGAAGAACAATTCATGGGTTGGTAGTGAAGTTTGGGTTTGAGTGGGATCATTCTGTTTCTGGTGCACTGATTGATTTTTATTGTAATTGTGAGGTTCTTGATGATGCTTTGTTAGTTTATAGTGCACTAGTTAATCCTTCCTTGAATGATTCAAACTTGCTGATTGGAGGGCTAATCTTGGCGGGCAGGATTGAGGAAGCTCGATATTTGTTTAACGGATTGATCAAGCGGGATCATGTTTACAATTTGATGATTAAAGGATATGCCATGTCTGGTCAAGTAGAGGAGTCAAAACAGTTGTTTCTGGAGATGTCAGAAAGAAATTTAACTTCCATCAATACTATGATTTCTGTGTACTCAAGGAATGGTGAAATCGATAAAGCTGTAGAGCTTTTTGAAGAAGTGAAAGTACAGGGAAATTCTGTTACCTGGAATTCTATGATTTCAGGATATACCCAAAATTATCAACATGAGAGTGCATTAAAGTTGTATACGACCATGAGAAGATTATCAATTAGCCAAACTAGGTCAACATTTTCTGCCCTGTTTCACGCATGCTCCTGCCTTTGTTCACTTCAACAAGGTCAATTGATTCACGCAGATTTGATTAAGACTCCATTTGAATCCAATAACTATGTTGGAACAGCTCTTGTTGACATGTACTCCAAATGTGGGAGCCTTAATGATGCTAAAACATCCTTTCATAGCATTGCATATCCTAACGTAGCAGCATGGACAGCTCTGATTAATGGGTATGCACATCATGGGCTTGGCTCTGAGGCACTTGTACTTTTTCACCAAATGTTAGATGAAGGGATTGATCCTAATGCAGCAACCTTTGTCGGTGTCTTATTGGCTTGTACTTGTGTGGGTTTGGTTGGAGAAGGCACAAGACTTTTCCACGTAATGCAAGAACACTATGGTATAGCACCTACTCTGGAACACTACACGTGCATGGTAGATCTTCTTGGTAGATCAGGCCATTTACATGAAGCTGAGAAGCTTGTTAACAGAATGACTATTGAACCAGACAGCATTATCTTTGTTGCACTGCTTAATGCTTGTTGGTTCTGGATGGACGTGGAAGTTGGAGAGAGGGTGGCAGAAAAACTGTTGTCGTTGGATCCCAAGTCTACATCCGGCTGTGTTATCATGGCCAATATGTATGCAGGATTTGGCAGGTGGTGGGAGAAGATGAGAGTGAGGAAAGCAATGAAGAAACTGCAGTATAAAAAGGATCCTGGATATAGTTGGATTGAACTAAACAACAAGGTTCAATTTTTCTCCGTTGATAATAGAACTCATCCTTTTTGTGATATAATTTACTCAACTTTGGAAAACCTAACAGCAAATGTGGACTCCGAAATTAATTTTGATTGTACTTCTTCAAAATTATATGGTGAAAGTGAGTTACTCTCTTAGTTAATCCTCTTGATTATGTTGATATGCATAGCATCCGTGGTGTTTATTGAAATTATTAGTTGTGTCAAAAAATAAATGCAACTAGCATCATATAGATTTCTGCTAAATCAGTTTGACTTCTTATGCATTAAAACTGAGATTTGTTATGGATATGCAACGGCTAATCTTTGATATATGAGACCTTGAAAATCATACCTTGGTTCAAAGGCATAGATTCAAGCGTTAGGAGATGCTTTATTCTGGGATATTGTCAGTTCTTGTTCATACACGTTTCCACAATTTTGACGGGTTCTCAGTATATATTCTTTCATTATCCTCTGACAGTATCCATTACAAAGTGGGTATACGTTTCATATTCCTAAGAAATAGTAGGAATATTAGTTTCTGGAGCTGCATCCACTTTCCCGGCATTATTCTGATGCTTTTCTGATCTTCTTTTTGGTAAGTCTGATGCCTTTTTTGGGGGAAAAGATCTCATATGCTACATGGTGTTTCCTAAGAAACAGTAGGACTATTACTTTTTGGAGCTGCATCCCCTTTCCTGGGATGATTCTGATCTTTTTTTGGTTGTTCTGATGCTTTTTTTTGGGGAAAAAAAGCTCATAGTTTACATGGGGTTCTTAGAGAAAATGTCCATTAATAATGCTTATCGTGAATGTTGTATTCAATTACTTTCATAGATATTAGACTTTCCTTAATCGTTACAGATGAGACGAGAGATAACTCAAGATTATGTACTAATTGTATGGTTCCTATTGACCTGTCAAGTGATTGTTTGAATGAGCTTGAAGCAGATTTCCTTTCTCCTGCCTATCCCAGGGATCTTAAATTTTCATTATATTTACTAAAAATGTGATTGCTGGGTGAAAGTCGATTGTAGCAAAAGTGAAAAAGATAGAGAAAAAAAACCAGCAGCTTCTGGCACAATGTAAGTTCTTCAAACTCCTCGAGATGTAACTAAAGGATTACACACAGACAAAACAATGTATATATATATATAATATGATATGGTTCACCATGTTATGTACTTGTTGGTCCTCTTTTCTGATCGTTGGTGAGTGGAATGGCTACTCCATTATTCGAGCAAGGTTCTACCTGTTTATCTAAAAATGAAATACTTAGCTATAACACGAAGGAGATAGATTGCAATTTGCAACACACATGCCAGAGAGTTGCTTAAGTCTTGGTGCTGAGATTCTCAGTGACAACGAGCATCGATTGATCTTTCTTCTCTTCTAACTTGAATTCTTGCTTGAGTTTGTCATCGTTATACTCCAAATCTGGCCATTTCTGTGGTTCTAATTCCTTCACAGGGTTCTTTCGATACTTGAAATACAGTATAAGCTGCAGGATACAAAGGGGTGTTCCCACCATATTTGGAGACTGAAAATAGAAGAAAAAGAAGATTGTGTGCAAGTGAAAATTATGAGAAGGTTGAAATTGATATTCATGTATATACACTTTATTCTTGAATTTATGGAAAATAAAAGCTTAAAAAGGTAAGTTAGTACTCCCTCAGTGGCTCTGCCCCAGTTTATATGACTCACTTTCTCTTTTAGTCCATTTCAAAAAAATAACACATTTCTATATTAAGTAATAATGAAATGATTTATAGTCATACATATAAGTATCTATCACTTATTTTAGACCACAAGTTTCTTAAAAAAATTATTTCTTTCTTAAACTCTGCATCAAGTTAAATTAATTCATATAAAATAGAACGGAGGAAATAGTAAACAAACCGCTAGAAAGAGATCATGGCTGAGTAGTCCATAGGCCATCCAAAGACCACTAGCAAGAAAAGAGAATAATGACAAGTAAAATGGCATAAACTCTACACTCTTTGTCTTGATCACTTGTCTCTGCAATACATGAGTAATCATTATAAAACAAATTTTACAAGTTGTTTGACATTAACATTATTTCGTACTAGATAAATGTATGTAATCATTTACGCTATCAGTATATATATATATATATATAAATCGTAATTCAAATACGAAAAATGTCTCACCACAACAACTAAAGGAGAAGCATACATAGCAATTGAAGCAACAAGTCCAATACTCCCTACAAAAACTTTTCGACGCCGGTGTTCATGAAATACAAACGTCGATATAATCCCCGTCGCTACACATATTAGAATAATAGGCACCACCATTTTTGCAACTTCCTTCTGCTTTTAACAACAAAAAAATAATTAATAATAATGCATACTATATACTATACAAAAAAAATTGAATCACACATATATATAACTTGCCTTTCCTTTAGTTGAAGAAAACCAGAAATAAATGAGAATAAATGAGATCTCCAAAAGTATCCCAATTCCATTTATAGTAACCACTGGGAAATCTTCCCATTTATAACTTACTATTGGTAACCCATACCATGTGTAGAGACAACAATTGAATAATGCTAGTACGTAAGGTACACATGAAAATCCTTCAATATTCTTCTTCTTCATAACTCGAGAAAATGTAAGCCTGTCGATAAAAAAATTAAGTTATATACAACATCACGTAAGAATTTTTTACATCATTATGATGTCACATTTATTTATTATATATAGCAGGTTATCTATCTTATTACGTACATTGGTGCAGCATAGAGCAACATGGAGGCGACATTCCCTGTGACAAATAAAACCATGCACGTTTAATTTAATTATCATGTAGAACGTAACGTATAACTTAATTACTAGTTATTTAAAATGAAGTAATATAAATATAAATTATAAAAAAATATAGTTTACCCATTACTCCAACTGCTAAACGCAATCTTTCACCCATTTTTCTTTAGAGAAAAAAATAAATTATTGAGGAATTTATAAGTGCTTAGAGGCAAGTAGTTAATTGTCTTTGAATTCTGATATAAATATATATACTATGGTTTTGATTAAAGTGGTGTGTCTACATGTATTTAAATTTGTGGGTGGAAGGTGATCAATCATTTTCAAAATAAAAGAAATTAGTTAGAAAAGAAAAATTTGTGGAAGATTGGTTGGAGGCTAATCATGGTAATGTATTTTATGGAATAATTTTGTTCCAACTGTAAATGCTCCATTTAAAAATGCTTTATTGGGCTAATAATAGGACAGAGGGAGGGGATGAGAATTGAGATGCATGCAAAAAAGAAAGGCATAAAATTAAATAATTCTTGTTTTAGTAGATAAATAAAATTTGTTCTTCGTGTTGGTGGAAGATGTTACTAGACTTCCACTATCCACTTAATATTTCTATTGCAAATGCTAAGTCATTAAATTTTGTTTAATATCAAGCTAAGTTTGAATGATTTTATTGATACAAAGACCTAAGTTGAATGATTTTATTGATGAATTAGATGTAAAAATCGGGCAAATTATCTGATCTTGAGAGATTTTGAAAAAAAAAATTACATTGATTTAAGCTAATAAAAGAGAAAGATCAAATCAGGGACAAAGGGAGTTGTTGGCTTGTGGCCGAGAAAGACGCCTAGAAAAAGCATACTGGCATGCAAATTTCTCTTTGTTAATTAACAGTAAAATATATTCATATATAATAATTATTTTAAATTGTAGCTATAGACACTAAATACTTATCAATGTTAGCTATATTGTGTAGTTTTTCCTATAATTATTTTGTTTGTTCAAACATGTTTTTATTTGTATGCAACCTCAATTTTTATATCAATTATGTAGAAACTTTAATAGTGAATAATTTCGATCATTATTATTAATAGAACATAAGAAGAATTATTACTCAAAATCTTTACGTTAATAAAAATATAAATTGTTGTAACTATTATTTATAGATGATTAAAAAAATAAAATTGGGAAGAAAATAGTAAGTAAAAATTACACGTTATATTAAATTATCTTTACATTAATAAAAAAAGAAATTGTTGTTAGTATTATTTGTAATATAATTAAACAAAAATAACAATGGGAAGAAAATAATAAGTAAAGATTACACGTTGTATTAAAATAATAAGTATTAAAAATTATGATAAATTTTATAATAGTCATAACAGGAATTTACGCAATAATTACTATATTAGAATACTAGAAAAATTGATAAGTTCCTCGACATCTAATCATTGATTAAAATTTAAATTATTATTTTCTTCTGCGAAAGTTTAAGAGATTAAATTAATGTTTTAAAAAATAATATAACAAACTGATTAATTAATTATTTTCAATGATTAATAAGAAAATGTATATAGCAAGTACATGTATTATTATTACATTATTTATATCCACTCTATATTAAATCATTTTTCTATTATAGTTTGACGCAAATTTCAGAATGTAAAGAATGTTTTGGATTCGAAAAATAAATATTCAAAATATACTAACATGTCATTTAATCTTATGATATTTTACATTTCATGTGAAAAAAAATTAAATATTAATTTTTTAATATGAAAAATATTAATTTATTAATACAACATAAAAGTAATAAAGGACAATATATAAAAATATTTGAAGTATTTGATATTTTATTAAATTAAAATAATTCTAAATTAATATATAGCCGCGCAACGCGCGGGTACGTATACTAGTGAAGAACAATAATAAAGAAGAAGACAATTGAGTTAATATTTATTTTTTCCAAGTTTATTTTAACACATGACCAATTTTTATTGGTCAGTGCTGTCTAAAAACTGCACCCACGCACCTAACATAGGTGAAATCACGGACTCAGCCACGTAGGCCGAAAAGTGGTAAACAATTAACTAAAAAATAAGTTCGGGGGGAGGGGGAGGGGGTAATAGGACCTTAGTAAATGTTAGGTGTGTCTCAGGGTTTTTGGGCATAGGCTGGGGGGTACTTATGCATTTTCCCTTGATATAAAACAAAGTTTAGTGATTTTACTAGATAAATTCTCAAAGTTAAGTGATCTTTTGACATATTAACTCGAGTTTTTGCTTATTTCATGTTATTAAATATATTTTTTAGAATTGAACACTATTAATAATTGAAATAGTTTCTTAATATACATATAGACCTATTTTTGTCTTAAATTCTTATAAATGACATTTATTTTGAGATAAACTATTTGATTAAAATGACACTTAATTTGAAACGAAGAAAGTAAAACTCACTAAGTTTTACTGTGATTTATATTTTTTTTCCGGAGGAACCCAAGATGAAGTCTTTTCTTCCACAAGCTTCAAAGGATAGTCACCATTATATATATATATATACTTTTTTTATAAAAAAAAAATAAAAAAATTTGGTTCGTGTGGTCGTGTCTCACTTTCACTCCATAACAAAGATATTTTTTTACGTGTTTTTGCCGTAAAAACAAAATAAAAAAAGGTTCACACAAAGGATATCTTGAAGCTCTAAATACATTAGTAAAAATGTATTCTCTCTAATAACTTAAACGTTTAGATAATCATGCAACATGCAGAGGTCCTAAGTTTTCAAATATCATTTGATACCATTATCAAAAATAATTCTAACGTGTCGGGCTTATGGAGTCTAATTGAAAAGCATCAAATACATAATCACATCATTCAACGTATTGAAGAGGAATAAAAGAGCAAATCAGATCGATTACCATATATTTGCAGAATACGAATTATGAAATTATATAAAGGTGCAATTTTAATTTGAGGGAAAGGTGATTAGGGAAAAGAATTAACCATTCATATTTATGGTTGATATGATCAGCATTATCTTTTGTGATGTCCCCCATTCATCATCTCAACTTGAAATTATAGCTTACTAAACAAACTTGATTTCCTGATTATTGGCCATATATATCTTATATCTGTCTTGCTTTCACACTTTTTATCACAATTAAATATGATTCTAAAAGACTAGTTAGATTCTTCACTCATCGTTTTTCAATCATGCTTGTAAAATGACATCGAATTTTTAGTGCTTTCGTTTTGTCTTTTCTTTTAATTGATTGATGGGGTGGAGCATATATTGTAGGATTTAGGTCTTAGTATATAGTTAGTACAATATTGTGCAATTACACTAATTACATATTTTAGCAAAAATAGCACCACTTCAAATTTACTATAATTTGTCTTTGGGATGGTAGGGTTTGAGAGTCTAGTGCGTTAGGGAATGTAAATAACGCCAAATAGGAAAAACTCTGTGCCTCATGAGATAACGTCTTCCAAAATACAACTAGCTAAGTACAAGTGTACAACCATAAGTGGGGTCTGGGACAAAATATACGCAGCTTTACCCTTTACCTTAATGAGATAGAGAGGTTGTTTTCGATTGATTCTCAGCAACCTTCCTCTTTTATCCTAGGGAAGACAATGTGAGCGAGGCCACATGGGCGGAGTTCATATAACTAGCCAAGCATATTTTTGGATTTCACGCAGTAATGGAGACTGGAGTGAGGCTTAGTGAGCTTTATTAGGCCGACTAATGACTACTACATAAACCACTGCCTGAAAAGGCTTAAACAGCTAGAATTATTTCTTTCTCGCCCTTGAACTATTGAGAAAGCCCCAACATAAAGTTCTGATTCTTACTTCGTAGAGCTGGTGCTGCTAGCCTTTGAAAATGAAATCATCCCAGTCATTCATGGCATCAGTACCCTTATCCAATCGGTTACAGAATCGGATGTGTAAAACATAGATAATTGACTTACAAGTTACTTTCAAGCCAGATAACATTTGCCAGTATCTTGTTATACAATATTTCGTTATGATTCCCCAGTCAATGGAACATATCACTCAACATTATCCAATAAACAACTCCTTAAAATATTATGACAATAATAAAGCAACATCCCTTTATATCATATCCTCAATCCCTAATGCATTCTGTAGCTATTTGAAAATCTAACCTGCATTCATTTTCATTATCTTATCATGTGGTTCATTATACTGCTCAATCATTTAAATAAGGATGCACTTGCAACAATTTTTTAAATTTTATGTCATAACGTGGACTTGCACAGTTTCACTTGTGGCTTATATGGATGACGATCCTCCTCTATTTTATACAAGTGCTATTCTGAATCACAGCAGATGTCACCTATATCATCACAACTCCAAGTTACCCTGAGACAACAAGCACTAGCAGATGCTTTTACCTAAACTACAAACTTAATGCTCCAAATACGGTAAAGCATATCCGATGACATATATATATAGTATAGAAACACGACTAATACAATCAGAGACCACCATGAAAATTAGGACAATCGAAGATCACCATGTCGTAAATATACAGATCAGTTGGTTCAAATTGGTCTGTAAGGAGAAAGAAAAATAATATGTTGTTTACAGGGTATGTTCTAACAGATTTGGTTTTAAGTCTAGTGAAAGAGGAAGTAATTACAACTATGGTGGTAGAAATGATTAGTGTACACGCAGCTACTATATACTATACAGTATGGGCAAGATTGCTGACACAGTAATAGGGGTATAAATTTTCTCCAATACAATGATCAAATGGTGTTGATTTCTTTAGAATATGTACCGGCGAACATAATCCACTCGAGTTGGATGCTTGAGCTTCATGAGAGCCTTCACTTCATGCTTCCGTACCATCTCTCTGGAAATATTTAGGTTACCCGCAATTTCTCCCAATGTTCTATCACCTTTGCCATCAAGTCCATATCTTTGTCTGATTACTAGACTCTCCTTGGGCTTAAGAGAATCAAGCTGTCAAGGGAGAAACATGATTTCAGATCAGATTTAAAATTAATGGTTCAGAAATCCTGAACGCCTCGTAATTTAACAAACTGAAACTTATAAACTTCAAATGATTTTCATTTATGGCAATACATATCTTAAGATTCAAGATTTACAGGTAATAGTTCAGCATATCTACTAATAGTGTCCTTTCAACGAAAGAAGTTTCCATTACTAATCTTTAAAGTGCT